TGCCATTTGTGACAATATGGATGGACCTTGAGGACATTATGCTAAGCAAAATAAGTCAGAGAGAGAAAGACAAATATATGATTTCACTCATATGTAGAAGATAAACACATACATAGAGAACAGATTAGTGGTTACCAGAGGGAAAGGGGTAAAGGGGCACATACGTATGATGACAGATAAGAACTAGACTATTAGTGGCGAACATGATGCAGTCTATACTATATAATAATGTACACCTGAAATTTCCACAGTGTTATAAGCCAATATAACCTCAATAAAATAGAATAACTCATACCTTCTATTGTGCCCAGTGCACTGACCAGGTAGGATATCTTACATGGACACAATAAATCAAAATGGAAATGTGAAATTCTCTAAATATCAAGAGCTGTGGGTGAGGAAGGAACAATGTAAAACCTGATACGATATATTAGAATTTTGTTGTGCACCATACATGCTGTTGCTCCCTGAATTCCATTTCCCAGGGGGAATGGTATTACTAACACTTGATTTAATTGAGGCATTACAAAACTCAGAATCCAGACTTTAAGAATATTCAGACATGAGGAAAGAATAAATTTTCACCTTTTCTATGGATGCTGCAAGATGAACCCGTGAATAAATAAGCCCAACTACTAGAAGAGCGTAGCCAGTATTTCTTGTCATAGGCAGAGAAGTACAGAGAGGGTCCTGTCAAACACAGAGACTGTAAAGCTTTTGGGAGCTTGTGTGGAGAAGCGTGTTCTGCTCACTCAGCCTTTTGTGACTGATGCAGCCTGTTACATATTTCCAAAAGTTGAGACATTTTAACCTGGAGCCGCCTCTTCATTCTTCAAGCTTTAGCTGCACCTGTTTTCTAGAGGTCAATATCACCATCCAATTGAGTAGGTAACCCGTAACCTGCTTAATTGACACCTCAGTGTGGTGGCATAATGGTTAAGAATGGACTGAATTGTGGGAACTAAGTTGGAGTTGGATTCTGTTGTTGTACTTGGGCAGCGTCTATAAAATGGCGGTAATAGTAGTGCTGCCCTGGCAGATTAACAGAGTAGTACATATAAAGTGCGTAGCGTGGGGCTCCCATATAGTGCACATGCTGTCCGGGATGACTGTTAACTGCCATCACAGCTTCATTTATTCCTTCTTATGTGAGACACCACTGAAACCCTGATGCTTTACCAGGCACCCTATTCCAGAGAAACACGGAGTCTGTTTCTGGCCTGGCCAAAGTTCTAGGGATGCAACATGGAGAAATCTAGAAACTTTCTGTGTCTTTTGTAGTCAGAGTTCAGGGTTCCACCATATGGTTTCATTTTTTAATATGAAGTAGATTTTAAACCGTTAGAAATACCTATTTTTAAGTGTAAGTGTAAAAACATCCCAAATGTAAATGCAGGTAATTTTAATTGTTCAAAAGTTGATTTGTGTTTCACTAGACAGGTAAAAGTTGCTACCTGGATCATGCTATTCTTGAAGCCTAAGGTGTATTTCATGGTGAGGCTTCTCCATGTCCTGTTTGATTGGTCCTTTTCTTATAACATGAAAATAGTATTCTTATCTGGAAAAGACTTAAATTTCTGCGAAATAGCCCCAATACGGTCTGTATTTTTCAAAGTAGGTATATCTAGATGTTGGTTTGTGTGTATGTATATATACACATGTATATAAAACAGAATGTGGTGGTGAAGATCTACATAATTTGCATTAATGAATAAGAATTAGTGTAGTTTTCCAGTACTGTTTTTGCAGGCAGTCTTGAACATCTTGTTCTAAACATAATGTTTATAAAAAAGAATTAACCCGATTTAAAAATGGGCAAAGGACTTGAATAGACATTTCTCCAAATAAGATATACAAATGGCCAACAAGTGTTGGCCAGGACATGGGGAAATTGGAATCCTCTTGGCATTGTTGGTGGGCATGTAAAATGGTGCAGCAGCTGTGGAAAACAGTTTGGCAGTTCCTCAAAAAGTTAAACGTAGAATTACCATATGATCCAGCAATTCTGTTTCTGATTATATACCCAAAAGGATTGAAAACAAAGATTAAAACAGATACTTTTACACTAACGTTCATAGCAGCATTATTCACAATAGCCAAAAGGTGGAAACAATCCAAGTGTCAGTCATTAGATGAATGGTTAAACAAGATATGGTATATAACACAATGGAATATTATTCAGTCTTAAAAAGGAATGAAATTCTGATACATGCTACAACATGGATGAACCTTGAAAACATTAGGCTAAGTGAAATAAGCCATTCACAGGACAGTATTGTATGATTGCACTTATATGAGGTACCTAGAGTAGGCAGATTCATAGAAACAGAAAGTAGACTAGAGATGCCAGGGGCTGTGGGTGAGATGGTGGAGGAGAGAGAAGATGGGGAGTCAGTATTTAATGGGTACAGAGTTTCTGTTGGGTTGATGAAAGAGTTCTAGAAATAGCTGGTGGTGGTAGTTACACAACCTTGTAAATGTACTGAACGCCCCTGAATTTTACACTTAAGTTTGGTTAAATGGTAACTTTTGTTATGTATATTTTACCGGAATTTGTAGAAATGGAGGTGGGGGGAATTATCTCTGTGGTCATCAATAGACATTTATGATGCCAGGGATCCAAAAGTGAATAAATCACAGTGTTCACCTTGGGAAATGGAACCTGTGCATTCTACTACAGTTATATGGCCTAGACAGAGACAAAGAGAAGTCTGTCCCAAATGAGAATTCATTGTCTGTTTTGAGTTACATTCAATGAATTTGAAATGTTACCAGTGAGTTTTAAACAACCAGCTGTGTCTTTAATGACTCTGCATCAGGGAACGACAGGGTGGTTTAAAATAGCATAGCTTTGATATCCCACCAGGTGGTTTTTTTGTTGTTATTTTGCATTTTGAGAGTATGACATTCCAGAGGATTTGATGAATTTTTAATATCCCAACACACCATTTGATGTTCTTTAAAACATATCCAAACACAGATTTATCATGATTGCTATTAAGAGTACGTGGTGTTCATATAATGATAACAGTAGCCAGCTTCCATCTATTGCTTGCTTGTTAGGCACCGGACATTATATTGATAATTTAATTTTCACAACAGCTCTATGGGGTGATTACCACATTTGCTCCCATTTTTCAGATGAGGGAACTGAATAGAAAGTTTATGTAACTTTCCCAGTTAACAGCTGGGAATTGAAACCTAAGTATCTTTGGCTTCAGATCCTAAGCTCTAGTTTTTTCAGAAGTAAAAATGTGAGGAAATTAAACCATATAAAATCTTTTGCATTTTTTTGCAAAAGATTTTAGTGCTGCCTTATATTTGAAGTGAGATTCTGAATCTGGAAAATCCCTTAAAGTGCTAGAAAGTGTTATGATAAGATAGTCTTACTAGTCTCACTACAGCATTAGTGGGGGACCTAAATTTGCCATTCGAATTCTTTCACCTAAACAAACCCTCTTGTCACATTAACTTGGCAACATATATTATGTTAGCTTTTAATATTAATAGAATTCTCTTTATTGAATATTTTCTAAGATAAAGTGGTTTGGTATGAAATTACTATTTTTACAACTGGAGGAGGCTTCTGCCTCTTCCTCCACAGCAGTTATTTTGCACTGCCTGCGCTCTCCTCAGGCCTGTTCTGCCACATCTCACCCCAGAGATGAGGCTGTCCTCACACCTGCGAGAAAATACACAGTGGCCCTCCCATGACTTTCTGTCCCTCATATGTAAGCTTCCTGCAACCACAGTCCTCAGTGCTGGACCCCCTTCCCTGTTGCCCCTCCTTAACAAAGGAGATCTCCAACCCTCTGCCCTTAAGAGCCTGCTGCTAGTAAGCTCCCTCTCTCCCCTTTTCCCCACCCCCACCCATCACAGTACAGTTCCCCTGGCACCCAGTGAACTCAATAATTATTTGTCAAATGGATGAAGCAAACATTTGCCTGGGAAAAACTGAGCTTGTTTTCCTGTAGAGATGCAATCATACCGTGGTGCTATCATCATTATATTTCAGATACAGCGTACTTCAGGGCCTTTATACACTTTATGAGGCCCTGGAGATTGTGTGTTTCAGTGAATATTTTTTCCATATAAACATAAACCTAAACAACTAAGTAGTCCACATGCTTTAGGAATAAAACCCTGGGTTAAGGATGCTTGTGTTTTCAAAGTACTTAGGTTTGTCTCCCACTAGACGTAAGCTCTGTCAGGGTAGGACTTTTTTGTTACTCCCTGCTGTGTTCCTTGGGCCCAGGTCAGAGCAGGAACTGGCACCCTGTGGGTATTCAGTACATAAAGGATAAATGACTATGGCAATACTGCATGGAGGTGCAGGAAAGCTCGCAGGTGGAAAGCGTGAATATTTCTCTTTTGAATTGTTGCAATGGTGTCAATAAACCATATCACTAAAATATGTGTAAATTTAACATTTTCAGGCATAAATGCTTTGCTTTTTCTTAAGGATTTTGTGATTTGGTAATAGGAAAGAAGAATGGCCTGCTATTAAAAAAAATGGTTAAATTTATTTTCTGGTATTTGAGACCCAGTCCTTGAGGTGCAGTGCCTAGCTTTTTATCAAGAATGGTGAAAATCAAGTAGGATTGCTTGATCAGCGTTAGTCTCTATCCTCTTGAGTATAGTTTCCCTACATGTGTTACTGACATGGAGCAATTAGGCATAATTAGCTTTTTAATAAGATAATTGCCCCTATACCTTATATCTTTATATCCTTGCCAAGAAAAGGGGTGAATTGTAACATTATCACCTGGAGTCCTTAAAATTTGAATGTTACTACTGATGCTGATTTCTGTCCACCAGCTTGGGGAGACCAGTTGCATATTGGCCTTAACCCCTAGTACATCTTCAGTTTGTTCCGTTTCCTTACTTTCAGACTCCATCCATCCTTGCTTCTGCAAACTGTTTTGGCTGATGGAAAAGAAGTTTGGTTACGCTGATTTGCAAGATATTTCTTTCATTGGGTGGTTTGGTTTGTTTTTCAGTCTGCTCCATCTGGACACAAACATCTGACAGTGGAAGAATTATTTGGAACCTCTTTGCCAAAGGAGCAGCCAACAGTTGTGGGTCTGGATTCAGAAGAAGTGGAGAAGCTGCCAGGAGATGCCTCCCAGAAAGAGCCTAGCTCGTTCCTACCATTTTCCTTTGAGCAGTCAGGAGGGGCCCCTCAGTCAGAAAACCTGGGTGTCCATCATGCTGCCCACCACTCAGTCCAGCCTGAAGTCACCACCCCGGTGCTAATCACTCCTGCCTCCATCACACAGTCCAGTGAAAAGCAGGCCGCAAACTATGCGATCCCATTGCGCCCTATGCTCAGTCCCACTCTGCCTGCAGAAGCTCCTACTGCACAGGTTCCTCCTACCTTACCCCGAAACACCGCCATGATGCAGGCGGTGAAGACCACGCCTAGACAGAGGTCTCCGCTCCTGAGTCAGCCGGTCCCTGAGCTGAGCCACGCCAGTCTGACTGTCAGCCAGAGCCCCTTCAGGGCCCCACTGAGCATGACAAACACAGCTGGTACATCCCTCCCAAGCATTGATCTTCTCCAGAAACTCAGGTTGCCCCCACAGCATGACCAAATACAGACACAGTCACTTGGGAAAGGTGCAATGGCACCCAGCTTTTCTCCAGCAGCCGGCCAGCTGGCCACGCCTGAGAGCTTCATAGAGCCTCCCCCTAAGACATCAGCAGCAAGAGCCTCAGCGTCACTGAGCAACATGGTGCTTGCTCCCCTTCAGGTACTAGTGGAAGCATGGGTGGCTGTAATTGGGTGGGATGAACCTGCAAAGACCTTGATTTTGACTGACATGCGACAGAGGCATTTCAAAGAGACAACTGTTGAGTATGTCAGGGACTAGAAGAAACGGGAGGTAAGAAGCCCTGTGAACAACGAAATAATTGGTAAATGTTGTTGTAACTTAATTCCACTTCCCAAAGTTATTTCAACTGATAAAAGCTAACAGTGTTGTATTTTTCTATCAGAGTCTGCACTTTGGGGTTTTTTGTTTTTTTTGCCTGACAGTTCCAGGAGTTCTCATTGCCTCGGGACCATAGATCCAGATTATCCCGAGCTTTCTTCTGTTCCCAGCTCCCTCAGTACTCTCATTGAGCGCCCGCTTTGTGCCAGGCACACTAGGGATTCAGGAGGGGCCTCCCAGATTTGGAGGGATGAGGTCAAATAAAGCTTCCTAGTGAAATTGATGTTTCAGCCAAGATCTGAAGACTCAGTAAAAGTTAGCCAGACCTTTCCCAGAGGTGGGAAGAGTGTTTGAGGCAAGGAAAATAGCATGTGCAGAGGTCTGGAGATGAGAAGGCGTTTGCTAAACTTAAAGAACTTTAGTGACTGGGTTTACTGTGGAAAGAAACTTGGAGGAGTGGGTGTTGGTTGATGAGCAAGACTTTGTAAATTGTGTTAAGGAGTTAGAGGACTGTTCTCAGAGCCCTGGGGAGTCTTTCAAGGGCTTCGAGCAATGGGTGACATGCTGGGAAAGGAGAAGGCGGGAGTAGGACGACCTATCGGGAAAGAGGCTGTGGCAGTCACCCAGACTTGAGCTGAATTGGGGAGTGGACAAGTAGATTTGTTAAGACATGTGGTCAGTGAGATTGGGAGATTGGGTGTGGAGGGTGAAGAAGAGGTTTGTCCCTCAATAATTTATAAGGTTGGTGAGTTTTAATCAGTTCAGAGTTTAAGTGACTTGTGCAAGATCACAGAACTAAAAGAGGGTAGAACCTTCTACTCTAAAACGGTGTTGGGGGCCCGCCCCGTGGCTTAGCGGTTAAGTGCGCGCGCTCCGCTACTGGCAGCCCGGGTTCGGATCCTGGGCGCGCACTGAGGCACCGCTTCTCCAGCCATGCTGAGGCCACGTCCCACATGCAGCAACTAGAAGGATGTGCAACTATGACATACAACTATCTACTGGGGCTTGGAGGGGAAAAAAAAAAAGGAGGAAGATTGGCAATAGATGTTAGCACAGAGCCAGTCTTCCTCAGCAAAAAGGAGGAGGATTAGCACGGATGTTAGCTCAGGGCTAATCTTCCACAAAAAAAAAAAAAAAAATAGTGTTGCCTTTCAGGATTTTAGTCTCGTGCCCTTTAGTAATAATAATAATAATAATCCCCAATCTTAACATTTTACCAAGTAATATTACATAGAAGAACCCATCATAATAATTGTATATTATTTCTTAGCTAATGGAATATTTTGTTCCATTCCTTTGAAATCTTATACAAAAAGAGAAGAAACTTAGTATCTTGGTTACATCATTAAATTGTTATTTTTCGCCATTTCTCTTACAGTTCTCTGCAGTATGAGGAGGAGAGAGAATGTCTGTTTAACAGATAGGTATCACGCCCCCAAAAGGCGCCTGCTGCCGCTGTTCTGTTGCTCTGGAAGTGCAGCCAGCAGTCTTCAGTGCTGCGCTCTCCAGATTCTGACCTCTGGGACAGCACTCTGCTCTCTAGCATGCCTCCTTGCAGAGGATGCTTACATATGTGAAAATTTTCATTTACATGGCAGTATCAAATTTTAGGACCTGGGACTTCATTGAGTTCTAATTTGGTCTACAAAAAGAAATTCTTTGTCTCCTAAAGATGAGGACAAAATTTAGCATGTGGAAGTGAGACTCTGAAATGAGGACTGTCTAATGCCACCTGTCCAAAGTTGAAATCACCTCATCAAGAGGTGTCATGCTGCCAGGATCTTGCATCTCTACAGACTCAAAAGCAAAAATACACTTGGGCTGTCCCCAGCTCTTATAAGAGACACAGGTTTTGGCTTTTTCATTAGAGATACCTTAAAGGCTTTGCACACACCCCTTTTCTGGGGGGAACTGGAGGGGTCCTGCAGTCGAGTCATTGGTTGCATTGTCACAAGTTCCTGTCAGCCTCTTCCCTCAGGAATCTAGGAATGATTAACGTCTGAACTATTCCTTATTGCTAACCTAGATTTTCCCCAGTAACTAGGAAATCTTAATAGAAACATGCTACATCTATTCATCTTTTCTTTTTAAACATTGCAGTCTATGCAGCAAAACCAGGATCCTGAAGTCTTTGCCCAGCCTAAAGTGTTATCCAGTGCCATCCCGGTAAGGACTCCCTTTTTCTTTCTTTTTTTTTTTTTTTTGCCGAGGAAGACTGGCCCTGGGCTAACATCCATGCCCATCTTCCTCTACTTTATATGGGACGCCGCCACAGCATGGCTTAACAAGCAGTGCATAGCTGTGCGCCCGGGATCCGAACTGGTGAACCCCAACACAGCAGAGCACGCGCACCTAACCACTTGCGCCACCGGGCCGGCCCCAAGGACTCCCTTTTTCTGAAGAACACATTGTGTCTGTTTAAGTTCTTCTGCTGGGTGTGAAGTCGAACATTGTCACTTGAGTGGAAAATTTTAGCTTTTAGGCCTAGACCCAGCTTAGATTCCCCCTCCCAGACTAGGCTCCCCAGCTCCCCCAGACAAGCTTCATTGCTGTGGCCTCTGTAGGCCTCCAGTCATCTCTCTGTATGGATGTCTTCCCCAGCTGTGTGTATACAAAGGTGGAGTTGGCCACCGGGTGGGCACTTACTCGGTGTTTGTGAATGGGCCACTGCTGGGAGCGTGTCAGCCTGGTTTCTGTGTGTAGGAAATATTCTTTGCCCTGGAAGAACTGGGCTGTCTAGGTTAACAGAGTCACTACCGTGCTATGATGCTCTCATTGGCTCGCATTGCTCAGCCAACAAAGCCTCCCGGGCCTGCGTGCTCTGTCCCGTGCTTGTTCTCCCCTGCCCCATTTTTTAAAGTTGTCCCCACCCTTCATTACCTACCAGCCTTGAAATGCACACTTAACTTTGTTCAGTTCCTAAAATTTGACGTTCCCATTTGCCTTCGAGCCTTGACCCCTCTCCTGAGTCTCAGAATTGAAAGCCAGCTTCTGACTGGTCTCGTTAACCAGTCTTTCCTTAGCTTGTCCTGCTACATGGTGATGGGCGGGAGCTCTCAGCCTGGTGTTGCACCAAAAAACAAGCTAAATGGCTCAGAAACCACAGCCTTAAAACTATGGCAAGCTCTTTGCTGTTTGTAAATGAGGAGGATGACAGATGGGAAAAAGAGAAATACAGATCTCTGTTGGTTGTATCAAATATGAGAATTATTAAAAATACTGATTATTACTGGTTTAGTGTATTCTGATGGCTAGCCATTATTAGCCTAGAAGCACATCTAAATGGGGGAAGGAGGTAGATGTTAGTTGTATTTTTTAGGAAATGTATCTTTGATACCTGTAATGGTATAATAAATATATTGAATGCTACAAAAGAAACTAATGCTTCGTATAACTGGATTTTTAAAATCCTCTTAAAATTTACATACAATAAAATGCAGGTTTTAATGAGTTTTAACACACAGATCCCTTGGGTAACCACTCAATCAAGCTATGTAGCATTTGCATCATCCCAGAAAGTTCCCTCATGCCCTCTTCCAGTCATTTCCCTGCCCCGCATATAAAAACTACATTTATTATGCATACCGTGCTGTTATTTCTCAAATTTGCCTTCTGTGATTATCCAACTTGGCCTCCTATAACAACTTAGGGCATTCTTCTTGTATAAATGAGCTCTTCATCCTTTAGCTGACAAGCTTCATAACCCGACATAAAATGCTCAAGTGCTTCAACTAAATGTTTATCTGAACCCCGGATAGTTAGCACTGGACTCTGCGCTTCAGTCTCCTACTGCTTATGCCTCTTATTAGGTGTTCCCTACTCTAGGCCAGCTGCTGGCTTCCGCACTTTGGTGCAAAATGACCATTGTTTCCCTGCAGGTTGTAGGCTCCCCACTGGTTACTGCAACAACCACGGCGGTGTCTTCAGTCCTGCTGTCCCCAAGTGTTTTCCAGCAGACAGTTACAAGGTCCACAGACCTTGAGAGGAAAGCAAGCTCTCCTTCTCCTCTAACTGTTGGAACATCAGAAAATCAGAGAAAGCCTTCCATTATTCTGAGCAAGTCTCAGCTCCAGGATACGTTAATACATCTAATAAAGGTATGTAGGATATCAGTCTAGTCTTTGAATTTTCATTCTTTAATTAAAAGAAAAAACAAATTGATAAGTTCTTAGAAAATCAGTTCATAAAGTAAATTTAAGACCAGCCGGGAATAATGTTTCTCTGTTCCTGAGCATACACTCCTGTTGGAAAAATATCTGAGTGAATTCCAAAATATTAATTATGGTTGTTTTTTGATGGTGAGATTCTTTGGGTATTAATTACACAAATCAGTTATACAGCTTTTTTCCTAAACTGTAACTAAGGAAGTAAATTCTGATGAGGTAAGTGTGACGTTACCGTCTCTTCCAGAATGATTCCAGCTTCCTCAGTACGCTTCATGAAGTCTACTTGCAGGTTCTGACCAAGAACAAGGACAACCACAGCCTGTGACTGGAGCAGAATAAATCTGAAGGCAGAGTGTTGACCTCAGAAACAAATAGGCCTCATCATGGAAACTTCTAAATAGAACGTTGGGTTTCGAGAATCCTGAAATTGAGCCTATGAGAAAGAGACTCATTCCTTAAGAATGTTTTCCAAGTGACGTTCTCAGTGATAATGGAGGTTTCACTGTGAAGCATCACCAGCAGACCTTTGTTTTGACAAAAAAAAAAGACCATTGTGTTAAGTTGTGTGGGTGTTTTCATCAGCTGTAAGCAAGTATGAGAAATAAGGAGTCTGATCTTCAGCTTGCTTTCACTGTCAAGGTCTTAGGGAGGAGGGATTGCACCAGCCTTGCAGCAGTCAGAGTTCAGCCCAGCCCACACCCGTCCCCCTCCCCTCCTCCCCTCCCCCCCAGAAACTTAAGCATCAGGCTGATAGTCAAGTTCTGAACAGAGCAGAAGGCAGCTCTGTGCAAAGTGGCTTCAAGATTTAAGAATCAGCATTTAGGTTGGCAAATTAGTACTGATTTGTTCAAGTGAAGTATATTTTATATGAATGCCCCATTTGGGCCTTAAAAGTTCTGAAATTTCTTAATTATGTTTGTTTTTAAGTGTCCCCAGTGCTGGCATGCACTGGGCTCCCAGCACAGGGGTGCCACTAGAATAGGGCCCTGTCAGGCCCTGTGGTGGTGTGGGAGTGGGCATGTCACACCTTTGAAGCAAAGGCAGGAGCTGGTAAAGCCTGAATTCTATCAGAAATCTTTAAGTTAAACTCTCAGTGGCTTTGAAAATGTTAAGTTTGTGTGTGAAGCATAGCCTTATTTTCCTTCTCTGTCTAAACACAGTTAGAAGTCATTGTTGATTGTTTTCCTTAACATTGACAAAAGGACCAGTGGACCAATCTGACAAAGCCATTCTGGTTTCATTCCTTGAGTCTACTGAGAATAGTTTTAAAGCTATGCAGAAAAGGGAGCTGTTATTCACGCTGCCCTTACTTTATTGTAGAATGTGGACTTAAAAACAGAGTGTGAAATTCAGAACTTTACCAATGTATTCCTAGGCTGTGAGTACTTGTGCAGCCCAAAGTGTGAAAATATGTAAAGATGCTTTGTTATGCTGCTATTGATCTGCCATGATTTCTATTTATTCTTTTACAGCATGTAATGGTGATTACTAATATTTTAATGTAGATTTTGATTTATTTCAGCAATAGTAATTTTAAGATATTCTTTGAATGAAAGTGTCTTCATTTCTATGATACAGGTCATTTTGTAGTATATAACCAATTAAGATGCACTGCTTACTTTTCTGAGCACTATTTAATGATGGGGTAAAAACCCAATTGGCTCGACCAGCTAGCATAAGGATTAGCTGTGAATAATGCTGACAGATGTGATGGTTCCTTGGGAACAATCATTTAAGCTTTAATGGTAACTCAGTCATAAGTCCATAGATTTCTTTCTAGCCGAGATTTTAGAAAATAACTTGTGAATTACCTGCTTGTTTTAGTTCGGTTTTAGTTTTTTAGCTTAAAGAATACTTTGAGTGGCTTTTGTTAATGTAAACGTGCTTTCTGGGCAACTTTTCTGCTTCTCAATTTAGATCTTCTGTTGCTGTCTACCTACCTATTTGTGAATTGTGCAGAAGTCAGGGAAGCTTCTAAGTTCTCATACTCAATTAGAAATAGTTTGTTTTCAAAGATAGTGTGCAAATTCAGCAACCAAAAATGAATTGCTCGTGCATCACGTGGGAAAGAGAAAGTTATAATAAGATACAGAGTGTTGCTGACTCCAGGAGAGGGTGTCCGGGGAGCCACGTGACTGTTCTCAGAAAACAGTTGCACCGGTAGGTTTGATCACACCCCTAGTGTAGTCTCAGTGGGCTTTGGTAAATGGAAGAATCAGGGGATTCTTGTTACAATAGACATTTGAATTGAAATGATGATTTGGGTATGTATAATATCATGAGAGAGTTGAGAGAATATCCTAAAGAGGGTCTGTAATCAAATCTGTTAATTTTCACCCTTTAATCCAAGGAATGAATATGATAGATGATAAAGAGAATCTGTGATAAAGTTTCTTTAGTGTGAAAGTAAACTTTTAAGTGCCCAAGTCATGGAGACTTGAAAAGGGTAAACCTGTTTCAACTCCTAAATTTATATATTCAAAGCATTTACTTAAAATTCAGAAGCCAGAAGTTCACCATCATGATTACCAGGAAGTTCAGACCAAGCCTGCATAGTTGCAGTTGTTTGACCCTGGCCCGAAAGTCACAGTTCAGTTGCCTTATTCTTCGTTCAGGCTTACTGTCCAGAACCTCATGCTAGCTTAGGTTGCATGTTTATGTTGCTGCAGTGTGTTTACTAGAACCTTAGTTTTAAACCTTAGTTGAATCAAAATGGACACCAAAACAGAGATGCTTCTTGCTAGGTTTTGCAGAACTCTAGGTGACCTGCTTTTAGGCACCCTGTCTATCTGTATGCCTATCCCCAACCCCGATGGGTGGCACTGCTCTTCTTTTGATGTAGTTAATGTGATGTCTTTGAATGGACTCCTGCACCTCCAAACAGCCTCGTTCCTTTAAGGCAGAAGCTCCTCCTCATTGTGCATCTCTCCCGAGATTTGTGAGGTATGACTTGGAATTCTAGGTTTTCAAGTGACTGTCAGTGTCAGGAGAAGCATTTCATGCCATCTGCATGTGAATGTCCACAGCTTACTTTAGAAGGCTTTTGAGTAACCATCCAGAGTGCTGTTTTGTTAAGAGCGCACGTTGACCTGGGTCCTTCTCTGCCGGAGGATGCACAGGCTTAGTTTAGAATATGTCTGACCCGATTTTGCATGTTGAGCATTTGTTCTTTTTCTGCCCATGTTTCCTTGTAAAAATTATAAACCCCATTGAATCCTTTACTAGGTAAATATTTTTAAACCATGCAGCTTTATTACTCTCCTCCCCAAAGAATGTAGTTTGAAATTTTCTCATTTTCGTAGTAGAGGCCATAACTGCCATTGTATTACTAATAATGCAACATGAAATTGAAGGTGCCTAACTGCTTAAAAAACAAAATCAGCCATCATACTGTAACTCTGGGCAAACGTAGAAACGCAGAGGAATGAGAGGTGGCACAGGCACGAGTGGGCTCGTTCCGTGTGAGTGAAGACATGCATCACAGGGACGTGTGTCCTGTGTTCTTGCTGCACATTTGCTGCAGAGCACGTGTTTCTTTCTGACCTATCTTTGGTTTTCTCCAGTTGTATTCCAAGTACTTTCTGGAACCAGTAGTGCCCTGTGTTTTCAAGTGTTTAAAATCTTTTTTTTTTTTTTTGTGAGGAGATCAGCCCTGTGCTAACATCTGCCAATCCTCCTCCTTTTTTTTTTTTTTTTTTTTTTGCTGAGGAAGACTGGCCCTGGGCTAACATCCGTGCCCATCTTCCTCCACTTTATATGGGATGCCGCCACAGCATGGCTTGCCAAGCAGTGCGTCAGTGCACGCCCAGGATCCAAACCGGCGAACCCCGGGCCGCCACAGCAGAGCGTGCGCATTTAACCGCTTGCGCCACCGGGCTGGCCCCTCGAGTGTTTAAAATCTTAAGATCTGCACCAAGTGAAGCAACTTACACTGGGCTTTTTAAAAGCTGTGCTTGAGAACATTTCCCTGAGTGAGCCGGGGCCTCAAGGAGCCTGTTTTTCAGCAAATTCGGCAGGAGAAATGTGTGCAATGGTTCACTCGGTTTTGTATTTGACATCTTCATTTGAAATGCTAAGATGCAATATCGTTCACTTTGGGAAAAATGCAAAATTGTGTTTCCCTTTTATCTGCGTGATTCCTTAAGAAACATGTTTTTAAAATATGTGTTCTAAATGGTTTTTATTCTGTATTACTGCTTTGACTGTACTCTCATGACTTTCATTGGACCAGACTCTCGGCTTCCTGAAATGGGAGGATGAGAGGCTCTGGAATCACAGCAAGATTTTTGTTCCATGAGCGAAATACTGCATCATTAACATTTTTAATGGTATGAATTTTATATCATCTGTGTATGTTTGCAAATATTTTAAGTTATTACATGTTTTCAAATGAGCATTTTTCATCCTAAATTTTATATGTTTGCAAATATATTTTTTTAATAAAAGTTCAAAACCAAGTTTTAGCACCTACCAAATTTTAATTGTGTTTTTATTTAATTTATAGAAATAGGAACTTTTGAATAAGTTGCTACACTTTGCCAGAGCCTCGTGCTGGTGAGATACGGTGGGGCGAGACAACAAAACCGACACAGAAAACCCTTGTCTGCCTGTTTCCAACCTGTTCCCAGCCAGCCGGATCACAGGCCACAGGGATTCTTAGCTGAATCCCCTGGTGTCTGTTAATTAAATGAGCACTTCCCTCCCCGGTAGCTAAACATTACGTGTGTAACTTGTATGAGTGGACATCTAAAGAACTTCGTTTACTCCTCTAAGCTTTCCCCAGATAGAGGGTACAGTTTTTTTTTTGTTTTTTTTTTTTGTAAGGAAGATCAGCCTTGAGCTAACATCTGTCGCCTATCCTCCTCTTTTTGCTGAGGAAGACCGGCCCTGAGTTCACATCCGTGCCTACCTTCCTGCACTTTATATGGGACACCGCCACAGCATGGCTTGACAAGCGGTGAGTCGGTGCGCGCCCGGGATCCGAACCCTAGGCTGCCGCAGCGGAGCACGTGCACTTAACCGCTACGCCACTAGGCCGGCCCCAAGGGTACAGTTCTAATCACAGCCCAGAACAGTGTTTTATAGGGGACTTGACAGTCTGGGTCATTTCCCCAATTCACTCAATTCATGGTTATTGAGCTGTCATTATGTGCCAGGCATCTAGGATGATAAGGAAGGAAAGAAAAAAGGAAGGAGGAAAGTAAAATATGATCATGGGAAATAGAGATGAGTTTAAAGAAAAAAAAATTGGTTAATCATATATCTCCCTAATAATTATTAACATTTTAATGTGTTTCCAAACGAAATTCACCCTAAAATGTTTGCTATACCTGCCTGCTTTCTTAGAGCAGAGCTATGCTAACTATTGCTTTATGACTGATGTTTTTTTGGGTGAGGAAGATTGGCCCTGAGCTAACATCCATTGCCACTCCTCCTCTTTTTGCTTGAGGAAGGTTGTCGCTGAGCTAACATCAGTGCCAATCTTCCTCTATTTTGTACGTGGGACGCTGCCACAGCATGGCTTGATGAGCGGTGTGTGGGTCCACGCCCCGGATCCGAACCCACCAACCCCGGGCCGCCAAAGCAGAGCGCACTCACTTAACCACTAATGCCACTGGGCCGGCCCTGCTTTATGACTCATTTTTATATACACACACATCAGTCATCATTAATGCTGCAAGGTCATTCAGCACTTAAGGATTGCTGTCCCATTGTTTTCTTGATCTTCACAGTAACCCATTTTAGGGAGAAGGAAGTTGAAGCTGAGAGTGATTGAGGGATGTGCCAAAGGTTGCTTATTAAGCCAGTGGTGGGTCAAGGACCTGAAGCCAAGCAGACCAAAAAGCTGGTCTATAATTCCGTGCTTGACTCCGTTGCCTCCTTGGTAAATTATTCTAGATTGCTTTTTATAGTTTCTTAGGTCACTCATTACCACGTATGTTTATTAAAAGCTAGAATGGTCTGCTCACCTGCTGTTTTTTATCTGTCATGACCTAGGAAAACAGGTAACTAGGTCTGTTGGAATTTCGTAAAAAACTAAGGTCTGTGGGACCCCAAATAAGAGCTGCGGAGGATGGGGTTTTAGGTTTCTAGGATGTTCCTAATGACATTTTCACTCACTTTGTGGATCCTCATTCATAGATTAGATAAGCGATTGTTGAGGCTTCTGGGAAGAAGTGTTTGTCTCAGAGAGCTGTCAGGAACCAGCCAGTCTGCTACTGGATGAGAAGCTACAAATCAGGCGGCTGTGTTGTCGCTCTGAGGGAAGCTCATCTTTAGATGAAGCCAGGTCCTTGGAAGGCAGAAGGGAAGAGCATCAGGGAACAGTCACATAAACCAACCCTGGTGCTCATCCTACATTTCCATCTTTCCAACAGTGTATATTGGGTTTATCTCTTAAATGTAATGTAAAGAAGCTAACAGGTTTCTAAAGGGCTTGGATCCATTCAAGATTCTAAACCTCTTAGAGTTTGCTAAATGG